TTGGAATCCTTTGCCATCTATTGTGTATCAATGATGAGATTTAAGAAAGAGTCCTATCCACATATTCTGCTTTTAACTTTTCCCCCAATAAAATAATTACTATTTTTAAATGTAGACTATCCCCCCAAAACAGAAATATTTATTTTTATAATGGTATATAAAGTAAGCTTAATTCAGTAATTTATTAAAGAATTATTAAAAATGATTTTTTATAACACTTAAAAAACTGAAATAAAGTAATAAAAAATAAAAACAACATATATATTAGGAAAACTCAAATTAAAAAAACAAAAAACAAAAAAACAATAGCAAGTGCTGACAAGGATATGGAGCAACTAGAACTCTCATACATTCTGGATGGGAATACAAATGACAGGGCACAGCTACCCTGGAAAACAGTTTGGTAGTTTCTTATAAAGATATTTATCAAATGACCCAGCCATCCTACTCCCGAGATCTGCCCCCCAGAAAGATGAAAACTTTTGACCAAATAAAAACCTATATAAAAATGTTTATAGTGCCAAAACCGTTTTGGCTCAGTGGATAGAGCATCAGCCTGCAGACTGAAAGGTCCCAGGTTCGATTTCCGTCAAGGACATGTACCTTGATTGCAGGCACATCCCCAGTAGGGGGTGTGCAGGAGGCATTTAGTCCATGTTTCTCTCATTGATGTTTCTAACTCTCTACCCCTCTCCCTTCCTCTGTAAAAAATCAATAAAATATATATTTTAAAAATGTTTATAGCAGCTCTATTCATAATCCCCCCAAACTGTAAAGAATCCAAATGTCTTTCAACAATGATTGAATACAAAAATTATGGTATGTCTGTAAGATGGAATGCCATTTAGGAATAAGAAAGAATACACACGTCTGTGTGAAAAAGCCAGTCTCAAAGGTTTCACACTATATAATTTCATTTATGTGACTTTCTGGAAACGGCAAAACTTATACTAATCCCTCCCTCATGGTTTTCATTATGTTTTTTATAATCTGCATATAACTTTATAGAAAACAAAATCAAGAGAGAAAGAGTAATTCAAGGCAGGCAATTATGACTCTACTAAAAAATAAGGGTCCTTAAAGAATGCTATTCAGTCCTCATTCAATGCTCATAAATCAGTAAAAAATCATGAGCCGTAGGAATATTAATACTTTTCATTAGCTTTCTGCATGCTCCTAAGTAGAGATGACAACAGGAAGAGCTAAACACTCAAAAAGTTAAAAAGCAGATGCAGTAATATGAACAAATGGACAAGGGTACAGCATAATGTGCAAGGTACCTTTCCAATTTACTCCGGCATAACTCAAAATGTCAGACGCACATTCCATAAAACACCCCCCACTGACGGAAGTGAGCTCTTTCTTTCTTTCTTTAAAATATATTTTATTGATTTTTTACAGAGAGGAAGAGAGAGGGATAGAGAGTTAGAAACATGGATGAGAGAGAATCATCCATCAGCTGCCTCCTGCACACCCCCTACTGGGGATGTGCCTGCAACCAAGGCACATGGCCTTGACCGGAATTGAACCCGGGACCTTTCAGTCTGCAGGCCGATGCTCTATCCACTGAGCCAAACCGGTTTCGGCAGGAGTGAGCTCTTTCTGACTGGCTGCCCATTATGTGGAAGGCACTACTGGGGAATCAAACTGAGGAAGTCCTGATTCTCATCAATCAGCATTAATAGATGAGAAAATGCTAAACATTTTTGTCTGAATTTCGCTTGAAATAGTCCAACACTGTGTAAGGCTAGCATGCAAACACAATGACGTGGGTACGAATAAGAGAAAGAACGAAAAGGTGAAGCAACTGCAGCAGCAAAGCCCCACAGGGTGTGGAGACAGGTGTGGCCGTGGGGAGGACGAGCACAGGAGGGGGTCACTGAAGGTTTCTGACAGCCGTCGGGGGGCTCTGAAGAATGGGTGACACTTTCCATGGGGAGCCAGTGACTCCGGTCCCTCAGCAGTGCTGTTCATGTCGAGGAAGGAGGGTCCCAAGGAGTCTGGAGCAGAGCCACCGCCTCAGCATGGAGGAGCAGCGGAAGCAGGCTGAGAGCAATGAGCACCTGGGAGTAACGCATCTGAGGGCCCCGATGTCTGGAAAGCTGCCCTGATCTGCAGCAGCTAATGCATCAGGAGGCAGGGTGAATGACTAAAGCCCCTCCCTCCCTAATCCCCAAAACCTGGGAACGCGCACAAGGGACTTTTCAGATGTGATTAAAGCCAATGGCCTTGGGATGCAGAAATGATCCTGGATTATCCGCATGGGCCCAATCTGACCACGAATCCTTCAGAGCAGAGAAGCTTTCCTGGAACCGAGCAGAGAGCGAGCTGTGACCGCCTTGGAGGGGTCAGAGGGATGTGATATGTCTATCTTTCAAGGTGGAGGGCAATGAACCAAGGAATGTGGGCAGAAAACTGATTGTCCTCCAGGGCCTCAGGGTGGGCCTCAGCCCCGCTGACGCCTTCCTTCCAGGCAGGGAGATCCCACAGCACCGGAACCCAACGCAGAATCAGATGTGCGTCTCCCAGTCCTTAGGCCTGTGCCTGTGCCCTCTCCCTGCTTCCCCGGTGAAGGGCGCTTTCCTTCCATTACAATATGTGACCTTCCGAATCTCTTCTCTCCACACCCCACTGAACCACCCCATGTGAGGTCATGACCCTTACTACATGGAGTCACTTAGCACCAACACCGCTCCACCTGAGTCCTTGCTATTTGCATTCTTCCCCTTTTCAGAGTTTACATGGATTGAATAGGTACTAAATGCCAAGTACTATGAAAAGAATTCCTCATGGGTTTTCTTATTCAATTCTCCCCAACAACCTTATCAGGTAGACATGACTGTTACGTGAATTTTTAAAAATAAAATAGTTGAAAATCATCCCGCTGATAAATGACAGAACCAGGATTAAAACCAGGAGTCTGACCAAAGAGTTGGTCCCTTTAACCATGACAATATCTGTCCCCTAAGTGAGAAATAGAAGTTCCAAGATCTTGTGCATTTATTAACACAATACCCTTTAGCATACAGACAATTAATAGTTGCTGAATATGAACCAATGGAGCAAAGATAGTTTTACCTTACTATTTTTCTTTTTTTTAAAAGAAAACTTTATCATGAGTAGTCAAGTATATATAAAAATAAAGTAATGATATAATGATCCTCCAAACACCCATCCCCCAACTTCAATACTTAACAATGTAGGGTCTATCTTAATGCTAACATTTAATCAATTTAATATGATATTATCTGGTAGAAAAAGTTCCCTATAATGTTATTCTTTTTCAGAATCACATATTCTTTTTTTTTTTAATATATCTTATTGATTTTTTACAGAAAGGAAGAAAGAGGAATAGAGAGTTAGAAACATCGATGAGAGAGAAACATTGATCAGCTGCCTCTTGCACACCCCCTACTGAGGATGTGCCCGCAACCAAGGTACATGCCCTTGACCAGAATCGAACCCAGGACCCTTCAGTCTGGTTTCTCCTGGGAGTCAGTTCAAGAAAACAGCATTTGGGGGGAATGAGGGCAAACTACAGGAGCTCTTCATATCAGCATTTCAGTAAATTGTGTGAGACCGGGGAGACCAGTCTTCAATTGAAGGAAAAAGTGCATACGTACATGCTTGATTAAGACCTACACTTTACATGGGTCGACCCAACTGACTTAGAGGTACCCCTTAGTTGTTGTTTTTATTAAATTAAAATTTTATTTTATTTTTTAAATTATATTTTATTGATTTTTTTTTTACAGAGAGGAAGAGAGAGGGATGGATAGAGAGTTAGAAACATCAACCAGCTGCCTCCTGCACACCCCCTACTGAGGATGTGCCCGCAACCAATGTACATGCCCTTGATGGGAATTAAACCCGGGACCTTTCAGTCCGCAGGCCGACGCTCTATCCACTGAGCCAAACCAGTTTTGGCTACTCCTTAGTTTTTAATACATGATTTCTCCCCGCAACCAGGAATTTTCTTGTCAGTTAAACATGAACAAAGTACGCTTGGGGTGAACCCTGCCCTTATTTAAGGTTTCCAGTGCGATTGTGTTATCTTTGGTCAGCAGAGTGAACCAGCAATAACGGTATTGCATAATCAAGACAGCAAGAGAAACACACTGCTCCAACATTTCCTCCGTGTCACCCACAGCTCCAAAGGAAACGAAGCTCAAAAACTGGCAAATGCCAGAAGTTTTTACATTTCTTTTGCAGCTTTTGGTCTCCTCACAAACACGAGCCTCTAACATTAAAAACAATCCCAGCCCAGCCAGCATGGCTCAGCGGTTGAGCATCGACTTATGAACCAGGAGGCCACTGGTTCGATTCCCGGTCAAGGGCACATGCCTGGGTTGTGGGCTTGATCGTCCGGGCAGGAGGCAGCAGATAAATGGTTCTCTCATTGACGTTTCTCTCTCCCTTCCACTCCGAACTCAATAAAAAGATATTAAAAAATAAAATAGCCGAAACCGGTTTGCTCAGTGGATAGAGCGTCTGCCTGCGGACTGAAGGGTCCCAGGTTCCATTCCGGGCAAGGGCATGTACCTTGGTTGCGGGCACATCCCCAGTGGGGGGTGTGCAGGAGGCAGCAGCTGATCGATGTTTCTCTCTCATCATGTTTCTAACTTTCTATCCCTCTCAATTCCTCTCTGTAAAAAATCAATAAAATATATTTTTAAAAATAAATTAAAAAACATTAAAACAAATCCCGAAAAGTGTTAAGTCTTATTCAACGGAGAAATCCTTTCACAACTACCTTGTGAAGTATTCCCTTTTTCCTATTAGCAACAGCCGTGCACACCCGGAGGCAGGTCCTGTTCCAGCAGCGGAAGGAGCCGCCCCCCCTCCTGTCCCCCCTCCCGCACCCCGCGGGCCGGGCCGGGACGCGGCCCCGGAGCTGCACCCGCGCAGGGACGGGCGGCCGGAGTCCCCGGGTCCCCCGGCCACAGCGCACGCGGGCGGGGCAGCCCCGGGTCCTCGGCTCGGCCCAGCCGGACCCTCACCTGCTGCGGAGCGGCGCCCTGGGAAGCACGGGCCAGGCCGCCGAGCGGAAATCTCCAGCCCAGACTCACCGGCCCCTCCGGGAGGCCGCCCCCGGCGGCGCCCCCTGGAGGCGGGACGCGGTACCAGCCCGCCCGGCCCCGCCGCGGGGTGCCTTTGCCGGGGCAGACAGGTGCGCTCTGACCCGCCCCACCGGCGCTCCCGGCTGCCTCCCTCCCTCCCCGGGGACCCAGAGCGCCTGGGGGGGGATGTTTTAGGGGGGGATGTTGTGGGGGGGAATACATCACATCGGCTACACACAAACACATGCATAGACCAGCTTCTGTGGAATGAAGTCATCAGTGATCTGTAAAAACAAAACACCCATAAACAAATATTGTAGTTCAAAGTAGTGGTTTTCAAAATGTGGTCCCAGAACAGTAGCTTCAGCTACTGAACAAAGAAATGCACAATCTCAGGCTACACCCCAGACTTTCTGAACCAGCAGCTGGGGGGGGAGGAGGGTGTATGGGGGCGGGGAGAGGGCAGGTGTGCGCATTTTAATGAGCGCTTCAGGTGTATGTTCAAGTTTGAGAACCATGGTTTATTGAAGATTTGCTCTAGTTACTCTCAAACTGTATTGTCTATATGAGTCAACTGTAAGATCTTGTTTAAAAATGCAGATTCTACAATAAATGCAAAATAGTAGCGACTATAAGTTGTGATTGAAAGATAAAATTTAGCCGAAACCGGTTTGGCTCAGTGATAGAGCGTCAGCCTGCGGACTGAAGAGTCCCAAGTTTGATTCTGGTCAAGGGCATGTACCTCGGTTGCTGCGGGCACATCCCCAGTGTGGAGTGTGCTGATCGATGTTTCTAGCTCTCTATCCCTCTCCCTTCCTGTCTGTAAAAATCAATAAAATATATTAAAAAATAAAATTTAAAAAGTGCAGATTCTAGTTTGGGTAGTCTGGAGCAGGATTGCGATTCCACAGGATTTACACGTGAATGGGCACACACAAGGGCAGGCCACGGCACTCATGGCTGCCCGGCAAACGCAGGGGGGCGGGGGGGACTACCCTCATCAAGTCTCTCAAGAAAAGTTCTCCGTCAGTTTAGAGGAGTCCTTGGCGTGTCAGTTTAGGGTTGGGGGGTTACACGGGAGCCCTTGTGAGCCAACCGCTTTGGAGGGGTTACCGTATTTTTCGGACCATAAGACGCACTTTTTCCCCCCCAAATATAGCCTACACATATACTTTAAAAAAAAAGTTTTTTTACTTGCCCGGCTCTGTGTGGTCTCTGTGTGCTTGCCCGGCTCTAAAATGGTTCTAAATGCTGCTGTTTACTTTACAGGGTTGATTACATGTGTTTATGACTGTGATGTTGGGTTTTAATGCACATAAAATATTTTAGGACCCTATTTGTTTCAGAATCTTTTTTTCTTCATTTCCCTTCTCTAAAAACTGGTGCGTCTTATGGTCCGGAGCGTCTTATGGTCCAAAAAACACGGTAGTTGCTGAGTTGATTCATCGAGGATGTCAGATTGCATCCAAATGGCACAGAGGAGTCACTCCTGAAAAGGATTTCGCCCACCGTGGTCCATTGCTCTGCCATGTACAACCTCCCACAGCCTCCAGGCCCAGGGCTCTGCAGCTGGAAAATGACATGCCTGTTTTCAAAACTCAACAAACATTTCCTTTCTCAACCGAAATAATTTAAGCTAGCAAATGATCTCTAACTGGAATCATCCAGTTTGGCCATTTTTGTTATTTAAGTCTCAGCAGGAAACTGCCAAATTCTGCTTTCCAGACCTTGGTGTCAGAAGGTAGATGCCTAATTTCTATTCGACAAAACACAGTGCACTGCCCTTCCCACCATGGTGCACAGGATAGGTATTCAGTAATATTTATTTAATTGGTTTACTTTTTGATCCTTTAACCCTCTGTGAATCAATACAAACTTAACAGAAAGGCTTTACAGTTAAACATGGGATCCATGAAATAGGCTAATTTAGAAAGTATGTGTGCAAAAAGTACAAAAAATAAATTATGCAAATAATTGGATTCCTTGCTTCCATTTCTAAACCTAGTTCTAAAAAAATTGTTCAATTGGAAAGCAGCAGGGTTATATTTCATTACCTTGTCAAGTTATTTTAGTACAACAGGTCTTACTGCTAAACAATATTCGTGGCAAAGAAATGAATGAGTAGACAAAACCAATCACATGAAGCTAATAAGTTCATTCACATTAAATTCAGTCTAGTATCTCTGGAATCAATGTTTTAAAGATTATGTGAACTGCTCTCACACATTTAAAATTAAGGCATTGACCTTTTCTCCACAAACCATATTCAGCATCTCTTCTAAGAAGTCTATGAAACTTTCCAAGCAATTACAGATGAGATGGTCTCATCTTGCCCATCTTCTGTAAATTTTAGGAAGAACAAGCAAAGAATCAAGTGAAGTGCTAGATAAGATTGTTGTATTAGTTTTGGTAAATACAAACTTAATTCCTTAATATTAAAAATATTCTCTCTCATCGATGTTTCTAACTCTCTATCCCTCTCTTCCTCTCTGCAAAAAATCAAGAAAATATATATTTAAAAAAATAATAAAAATGCACCTCCAGGCCCTGGTTGATGTGGATCAGTAGTTAGAGTGTCCTCCCGCGTACCAAAGGGTGATGGGTTCGATTCCAGGTGAGGGCACATACACAGGTTGTGGGTTCCATTCCTGTTGGATTGCTTGGGCAACTGATTAATGTTTCTCTTTCTCTTTCCCTCTCCTTTCCTCTCTCTCTAGAATCAATGAAAAGAACATATCCTTAGAGGAGGACTTAAAAAGAAAAAAAATGCTGGTTTGGTTCAGTGGATAGTGCTTCTGCCGACTGAAGGGCACCGGTTGGATTCTGATCAAAGGCACATGCCTGGGTTGCAGGCTCAGTCTGAGGCCCTGGCTGGGAATTCAGCAAGAGGCAACCAATTGATGTCTCTCACATTAGTTTCTCTCTTTCTCTCTTTCACTCTCTGTAAAAAAAAAATAAAAAAAAATAAAAAATAAATCAATGCAAAAATGTCCTCAGATAAGGTTTAACCAAAGCAAGCAAACAAACAAACACCCATCCCCGGTGTGATTACTGAAGGAGCACATGAAGAATTTCTTGAGTGAATGGGAAGGGATGGGACTTTGCTTTCTAACTGTTTTAGCAACTCTGCAAGCCAGAGAGTGTGTTTTTTTATTTTAATTTTGATTGATTGATTATTTTGGAGAGGAAGGAACGGGAGAAACACCAGTGTGTGGTTCCATTCATTCTGCTCTTTTTAGTTGCTTCTTGTCTGGGGCCCTGACCGGGGATCCAGCGCACAGCCTTTCCGTATCAGGAGGAGTTCTAACCCACTGTGCTGGGTGCTGCCTGTAGGGCCCCCCAACAAACCCCTCTGGTGCCCTGGCCCTGCTGTGGCCGGAGCTCCTCTCCACAGCAAAGGTGTGGGTTCCATCCCGTCAGGGCACCTCTTAGGCTTCGGGTTTGATCCCCAGTGGGGATGACTGCTGCTCAGGCAGTGACCAAGGACCGCTGAGGTCCCTGTGCTCCAGTCATTGGGCGGGGAGCTGAGGTTCCATTGCCCGCATAGCCCACTCCTATCCCACTACCCCCGCTCCTCCATCGAGGATGACTTCAACTGTGGCAGCTGCGGGGCCTCCGCCCTGTACACATCCGCAGGGGTAGGTTGCCCTCCCGCAGCTCGCCAGGCCTGGCTGCTGCGCAGTCACCCCGGGATGCAGATCTCCGGGTCCCCAGGGAGAGCGGGGTCCCGGAGGGAAAGCACTTCGCTCCGCCTCCCTTCCGGGCTCCTGGGCTGGAGCGGAGCATCCATCCTGCTCAGGGCTCCCAGGGGAGAGCTGCCCAGGGAGGCCTCCCAGCTGGGTGCTGAGAAAGCGAAACTGGAGCCCTTCCTCCTGGAACCCTGCCATCTTCGGTGCAGAAAGGGACGGATGAAAGCCTCAGCAGCCTTACTGGGGCATCTTTAAGTGAAGATGTTATTTTTTTTCAGTGAAAGTAAGTTTATTGTGTCATCAGTATTGTGTAATCATTGTGATTAACACAATAACCTGCATGGAGTTATCTGCTGGGATGTTTTGTGCTGTAGGGCACGTGAATGCATTTTTTTGACACAGCCTCACATCCCTCCCCCAACTCCCCCCACACCTGCATCAGGAAGCCACGCCCACCCGTTCCAGCTGGTCATTATACCGTGAGGGCGTCCTGGACAAATTTGCATATTCTTCCATTAAATATATAAATATACAGTATATGTAGATTATGTGCCAAGCAGTGGTCTGGGGCTTTATATAACTCGTCTCATTTAAACCTCCCAGTAATCCTGGGCAAAAGGTCATATCGCACCCCGTTTTATGGACGAGAAAGCTGAGTCGCTGCCTTAGTTTCCTAGGTCTGCTATAAAACATCACGGGCTGGGTGGCTTCATGCAGAAATGTTGTTCTGGAGGCCAGAAGTCCAAAGTCAAGTTGAGGGCACTACCTCCTTCGGAAGGCTCTAGTGGAGGATCCTTCCTGGTCTCTTTCCATTCTCGGTGGCTCCCTGGTGTTCTTTGGTTTGTGGCAGCATTAGTTCAATTTTTGCCTCCAACCGCCCATGGCCTTCTCATTTTATGTGATACCCGTCATTGGATTTAGGGCCCACCCTAAATCCGATATGATTTCCTCTCTACCTTCTTAACTAATTGTATCTGTAAAGTCCCTATTTCCAGGTGGCCATGAATTTTGGAGGACACAATTCAACCCACTACACTTGCCTAAGTCAGTGGTCGGCAAACTGTGGCTCGCGAGCCACATGTGGCTCTTTGGTCCCTTGAGTTTTTAGCAAAGGCCAGCTTAGGAGTACCCTAATTAATAACAATATACCTACCTATACAGTTTAAGTTTTAAAAATTTGGCTCTCAAAAGAAATTTCAATCGTTGTACTGTTGATATTTGGCTCTGCTGACTGAGTTTGCCGACCACTGGCCTAAGTTCCTACAACTAGTAAGTGGAAGAATGGGATTCAAATCCAGTTATAACATGCTTTCATTGCACATTCAAGCTTTGTGTACCCAAATGCCAGCTGTTTCCAGACAACCACAGAGTACACA